GGGGCTGGGTGTCCCATTGAAAAGGCGGCCGCACTCGGGGCCGGCCCAGCACTCGCTCGCTCTCTGGTGGCCGGGGAACGTGGAAGGCACCGCGACGCCGCCGCCGACGACCCGGGAGCCGGCCGGCCGACGATCGATCGCTCGGGGAGGGCGAGAAGGGGGGAACCGAGAGAGCGAAGGCAATCCTCGGACAGCCAGGGAGGGCGGCTTCGCCCACACCGCCGCCGCCGCGAGGCTGCACGGCACCTCAGCCCAGCCCAGCAGCGCACCCCGCCGACAGCCAGCCTTCGACGGAGCCCACACGCCAGCGTCTGCGGAGCGGCTGCTTTTCGCTTTCTTCCCCTCCTCTTCGGCTGTTCTTTGAAAAGAACAAGAAGGGCGCCCGCAGCAGCCTCACACGCGAGCGCCACGCGAGGCTCCCCGAAGCCAACCCGCGAAGGGAGGAGGGGAGAGAGGAGGAGGAGGCACCCAGGGAGGAGGAGGAAGGGGGGAAAAAGCTAGATACATACCTACCCTTGGCCACCCTCTTGGCTCCCCAAGCTAAGAAGTGTTGGGGGGGATTGAGCTTTTATTTACATTTTTAATCTTTAACTTCTTTGGGGAGGGGGGAAAGAGGGGGGGAATTCCTCTTCATTTCCTCTCCCGTTTGTTTGTTGTTTACTTGTCCAAATTCTGTCTGGTGGTGTCTGTCCCCCCCCCCAACCTCCTCTCCATCGCGCGCGCGTGCGCGTGCGCGCGTGCCGTCCGTCCTGACACCTCGCCTCCTTCCTTGCACCCCGCTCCGGATCCCCCACCTACCCACCCTCTCCTCCCTCCTCCCACCCTCCCCACCCCCAGATCCTTGGCCACCGCGGGGTGCAGGGAACACTCTCTGCCAAGATGGAGAGTAGTCACGCCGCCCAGCAGCCCCAGCCGCAGCCCCAGCCGCCCTTCCTGCCCCCCGCAGCCTGTTTTTTTGCCGCCGCCGCGGCGCAGCAGCAGCAGCAGCAGCAGCAGCAGGCGGCTCAGCTGAGCCCGGCAGCGGCGGCGGCCGACGGCCAGCCCTCAGGGGGCGGTCACAAGTCAGCGGCGCCCAAGCAAGTCAAGCGCCAGCGCTCGTCGTCGCCCGAACTGATGCGCTGCAAACGCCGCCTCAACTTCAGTGGGTTCGGCTACAGCCTGCCGCAGCAGCAGCCGGCCGCCGTGGCGCGCCGCAACGAGCGGGAGCGCAACCGGGTCAAGCTGGTGAACCTGGGCTTCGCCACCCTCCGCGAGCACGTCCCCAACGGCGCGGCCAACAAGAAGATGAGCAAGGTGGAGACGCTGCGCTCGGCCGTCGAGTACATCCGCGCGCTGCAGCAGCTGCTGGACGAGCACGACGCGGTGAGCGCCGCCTTCCAGGCCGGGGTTCTGTCGCCCACCATCTCCCCCAACTACTCCAACGACATGAACTCCATGGCCGGCTCCCCGGTGTCATCCTATTCCTCCGACGAGGGCTCCTACGACCCGCTCAGCCCCGAGGAGCAGGAGCTGCTGGACTTCACCAACTGGTTCTGATGGAAGCGGCCCGTGGTCTGGCCCCGGTGCCCCCGGAGACTTTGGAAGCAGGTAGGTCGCGGGGAATGGGTCATCTTTCTTGTCCCCCTTCCCCCACCTGCCCACCCTGACCCCCTTGGAGCGTCTGTGGGAGGTGGGGGGACGGGGAGGGGGCGGGGAGGTGGAGGCTGTCTCCATGGAGATTGACTTTTTTTTTTTTAATTTCAAGAATTTGGGAAGCCTGGCTATTTAAAAGCCTAGCTCGTTTCTGTAGTGATCGCTTGAATGTAGCTTTTTACCCAGGTCTCCGAAAGTGTGCAGGGGGCGTGGTGAGACGCAGAGGGACGCAGAGGCTCGACAGACTGACTGGCCACAGAAACTCCCATCGTATTCCCACTAACTACAACCTGTCCCGTTCTTCTGTTTATTTTATAGGGTGACCACACAACAACCTGCATCTTCAGTATTTCTCTTCAGTGACTTTGGGGGGGGAGGGGAGGAGGAGGAGGAGGAGGAGGAAGAAGAAGAAGAAGAAGAAGAAGAAGAAGAAGAAGAAGAAGAAGAAGAAGAAGAAGAAGAAGAAGAAGAAGTCAGCCAGACCCAAGGTCCACCGAGCGACCTATGCCTGAGAGAAAAAGCTTCAAAACACTGAGATGCTGTCAGAACAGTTTCTTTGCACTCCAATCACTGTCGGAGATAGGAAGAGACACACAAACCCAAATCTAAGCACTGCTTTGCAGTAGGCTGGGGGGGGGGGGGGGGAAGGGATGGGAAGGGTAAACAAAGGGGGGGGGGGGGGGGAGGAGGTTGGGGCAAGGAGCAGGATGAATAGCAACTCCCATCCACCTCCCACAGTCTGAACTGAATGCACTTGTTAGGTGCCTTTGCCTCCCTGCCCTCTCTTAAAGCAGTTCTTAGTCCTCTAGAAATGGGTTGGTGTCTTAGTAACCCCCCCCCCCAGTCCAAGAAGCAGTGGACACCTGCAGCGAAACTATGCTAATCGTAACCCTTAGAAACCCTGCCCCTTTTCTACAGGGGATGTCTCTCCCCAATGCCCCCCACATAATCTCCCTCCCATCATCCTTTCCACTGTTTTCACCATAGAATGCTTCCAATCTTTTGTGAAATTTTTTTTATTATAAGAAAGATCTATTTGTATCTATCCTAACCAGTTTGGGGATATATTAAGATATTTTTGTACATAAGAGAGAGAAAAAAAGTTTATAGAAGTTTTGTACAAATGGTTTAAAATGTGTATATCTTGATACTTTAACATGTAATGCTATTACCTCTGCATATTTTAGATGTGTAGTTCATCTTACAACTGCCATTTCCCCTATGTAAAGAGATCTCCTCATAGGTGAGATCTAAATGCCGCCAGATGTACTTCAGCACCAATGTGTCTTACTTTATAGAAACGTTGTTAATGTATTAATGATGTTATTAAATACTGTTCAAGAAGAACAAAGTTTATGCAGCTACTGTCCAAACGCAAAGTGGCAGCCAGGCAGTTTTCTTAGGTTGCCTTTTGGAAATTTCTACCACTGCCTTTTTTCTTACTGTTTTATTACAAACTTACAAAAAATGTATAACCATGTTTTATACAAACTAGTTTCGTAATAAAACTTTTTTCCTTTTTTTTATAAATGAAAATAATTAGTTGCCTCTAAGCCTTCTTTGACTTCATGCCCCAGACCAAGTTATCAAAATACCAAAGAGAAGGGATTGGGGGGGGGGTCCAAGAAGGTGGTGGAAAATGTATACATATTTTGACAGAAATGACATATCTAAATGCTCTAGTCAGTCCTTCCCTGGTGATAACTTTGTAATGGATATAAAGGGGTAAGGGGGGGGAGATGCTTTATCTTTAATACTAAAATATTACATTTTATTCTTCTCTCTGCAAATGTAAACAAACTCCTCCCCCCCCAAAAGACAATGGATGCCAATTTGTGAATGCATCATCCTCTGATAAACTAGGCATTTAAGTCTCAAAGCCAAAAAGGACCTGGAAGGAGATCATCACCCTAACTTAACTATCCTCAAGTTTCTCACTGTAGAAGGATGAAAGGGCTGGATGGAGGATGGGGTTCAAGGTTGGAGCTTTTCCTGGCTCCAAATTGGATGTGTTTCTCTTCTCTCTCTTTCATGCACACATTATCTACCCCCCCAACACACAACATACTCTTTCAATGCCAGTTTTAAGTAATAGGCACGTTTGAGATGAGTTCCTTGTAGAAGGGAGTTGAATTTTTAAATAAATAAACTTGTTAGAAATGTGTGGTTGCTTTGAGCCTCTAGCCTATGACTCTAGCCGAATAGCGTGAGCTGCGTGTAAAAGTCCCCAATTACCAAGATTCAAAAAGAAATTGGTGGGTTTTTGGCTGGCTTGTTTCTTGTCAGTTAGCAAGGACGTGATTAGAATCCTACTCGGCCGGCCCTCTCCCGGGGCTCCTTGCCGCCTGCATTACTTGCAGATTCCGTTTGCGTGTCTCCAGCCAAGCGGAAAGCTTAGCGCAAAATGCATCTTACAAAACCCAACAAAGAGCTGGGAGCCAGCACATTTTCCAGAGTTTAAAAAAAAAAAATCTAGTCTGTGTTGGTACAGCTATACTTTTTAGTGGCACCGAATAATCTTTTTTTTTTTTTTTAAGCCGCGATGCGCAGAGCACGCCACAGTGTCTGATGTCATTTTTACTAAATGACCTTCTATAGAATGCACATTGAAGCTTCGGTCCTTTTCAAAGAGATGAGCGTCATTAAGAGGGGGGGAAAGCAGTCAATTCCTCATCGCCATAAATAATCGGACTTTTCTGCCAGCAGTGGGCCGATTTAGAGCTTACTCGAGGGAAGTAATGCCTTTGTGATGCCTGCTTTTATTTTATTTTTTAAATCTTATTTAGCCCACCCCACCCTACCCCACAACTTCTTATTTATTTATTTATTTTCCCATTTAACTGCGTTGCAACTTTCCGGATAAGGCACGCAAAGACAGTCATTGAGGGCCGTGAATATAATATAAGGATAATATTTCAGCTCCCTACAAAGGGAATTTTTATTTTCTTTTATTCTGGGAAAACCAGTATTCGGAATGGGAAATAACTACTCTGGTTAAACCCCGCGTAAAGTTGGACGTTGTTTGCCAAAAACACAAAAGCAAACTTGGAAAAAATTTCACACACACACACACAATTTTGCTGAAGCGAGGAAAGGGCAAAACGGGGATTGGGCAAAAAAAAAAAATCTCATTACATCTGCTCTAATCGCTTAGCAACACAAAGCCTGGGCTTGTGCAGGGAAGGGAAGCCATTCACTGTGCTCTGACAGGCCGCTTTCAGCCGTCTTAGTCAGCTTCATAAATCACGGCTGCCCATTGGCTGTGCGCTGGGCTAGGCAGCCGCTCTGGGCTGTCAGAGAAATACAAAATGTAGACTCTAGCGACAAGCAACCTCAGCCTCTCCTGTGCCTCAGTCCGCACCCCACTTTTTCTTTTTTGAGGGGATGCTGGGGAAGAAAACTGAGTTGACTTGACTGACTGAGATACCTTAACTGATTAATAATAATAATAATAGACTATGACTTAAAGATGGAGACTTGCCTAAATTTGACAAGCAGGAGCTGGGAGTTCAGGGAAGAAAGACAATTTAAACACACACACACACACACACACACACACACACACACACACACACACACACCCCTCACATTCTCTGCTGGGTGCAAAGCTGTTGAATGCAGTTTTTATGACAGGCCAGGATAGAGATATTGTGGTGCAGTTTCAGCACTCTGATGTGGTCTTATTATTTTTAAATGGCAACCAGGAGAGAATATGTGAAGAAGAATCGTATCTCAAGTTCATATCAGCTCACTCCCCCAGGGAGAGAAAGAAATCATGATGCAAGAATATTAGAACACAGAATTAACTACCAGTTCCCTGGTACCCAGAGCAACTAGATAAAACAAGATTTTTAAAAACATTAGTAAATGCTCTGGTGGATGGAATTACAAGTTGTATGTAAATGTTAGTCCCTGTTATAATTCTTCTAGTCCTCATTTTCATGGGGACTAAATATACCTAACTCACAGCCCAGCTTTAATTCTTGCCCAGATTTAATCTCTTAGATGCTGAAACAGAATCCAAGTAGAGTTTCCTAGGAAATTTTTAGTTGCTGCCTCTTCCAAGAAGTTTTTCCTTGGACCATCCATCCAACACAGCTCTCCATCTGACGCAGCCTCTGCCCATGATGCTGCTCTTCCTGCCTAGTATGTTTTACTGCCATGTAAAAATGCTATCTCTTTGCCTGTTAATGTGACTGTTACCAATGTCCCCTACTAAATGGTAACTTATGAAGACAGAGCCTCATGCATCTTATATAACTGTGAAGTCCTCTCACCTGGAGAGAAATATTTGGACAAAGGCCTCTGAATAATTGAGAGGGGTTAGTTATGCACCCTGCCCCCACCTGCTCTTCACTGTGAACAAGCCTGTGGAGTTGATCACTAGACCATTCTTGTGTTCTGGCTTTTCACTGAGTTTGGAAGCGCCGTGTAGAGGTAGCCAGGTAGAAGGGAAGACAGGCTGGGACAATTCCACCCTTTACTGCCTGGGCTTAGCTGCTTTGATGAGGCTCTGTGAAGTTTTCTCCTTGTGTTCCTTTAGATGGAAAGATATAACAGCCCCCTTGTTACTAGTCTCTGGATGTCCTATCATTCTGGTTCTCTTCTCCTCACCCACATTTCTGCCTGTTAAACTCTTGTCGTTTACCCTTTCAAATAAGTGCCGTTTGCTCCTGCTGACCCTATAACAGGTTCTCAAGCCTTCCATCGTCCAATAGCATCGCATAAGACTTTCAGGTACTCATAAGGTGATGATCAAGGAGAAATTTCATAAGAGAAAGGTGAACCTTATGTTGGCAACACTTAACTCTATAACCACTTCCTCTGTTAGAGCCAGTGATGGCTTACCTAAAAGTTTGCAAAAGAAGCAGAAGTGGCTGAGATCTGGAGGATTGGGGTTTAAGGCAAGCCCAGGCAGAAAAGTCCATGAGGGTGTACCTCCAATCAATTAGCA